GTTTATTCCAATTGCCCTAACCCAGCAAAACATTTATAGGGGACTGTGGGCCAGATGGACTGGATTTTAACACCAGTCCAGCCCTGATGATTTTCCTCTTCTAGGGCCAGAAAGACCTTCGAATATTCAAACTTAACGTAAACTCCTTAACGGAGCTGTATATGCTCAAAAGTGGTTGCTGCTTCTGGAAACCCGTTTGCTTTTTCTTCATATCTGGTGTTATTGTATTTATTCTTTTAATGTGTTGTAGCCTGGAATATTTAGTGTGCATACTCATTGTATCTCTGTGTTGGAGATTTGATTTTTTGATTTGATTATTCCTGTGGTAGAAAACGTTGTGCGTCACCAAGATAGGCTACTATGAAGGGGGGCCCTTGGGTTTCCTACAGCCCCAGGGCCCTGTGTGTTCTTACTCCATATAGTTATAGGCAGGCCCGGATTTCGGGGCACCCCGTCTAACTGATCTGAACTCAACCACATCGGATCAGCTCCTGCAGGTCACCAACTCCCTGTTCTGCTCCTCAGTCGCAACCTTTAATCAAACAAAACTACGTATATTGAATGTTGGTATTTCATCAAAGCAGCTGAACCAGTAATGAGACCAATATGCCCAATGTTTCAAATATTGTACGGGTCTCAGGTTAGTCTCATCCTGTGGGAAGCTGCTGATTCTCCAGTCCAGTCTTTAGTTCATGTAATAGAGCCGGTTAAGGTCAAATGAGTACAGGAGAGCTTGAATGATGTAGCATGAGACTTACAGATAAACATTGCAGTGATGAATGACAATCTTCCATCAAGGTAGAAGAATCACAGCACATCCCGCTCAAACTCCTCCAACTTGCCTAAAGACAAAAAAATTAAATGCAATTCAATAGTTATAGTACAGAAAAGAATTACTGAAAAGCAGGCAAGCTGAAGATTAAGAGGAGAGGCTGTGTTGCCATGTCCTCTGCTGGAATCCAGATTTAAACAGACTCTAACTTGACAGACAACTGTGGCAACAGAAGTCGTCCACTTATGTCAGAAGCAGATTAACATCAAGAACAGAGAAAAGGCATAAAATTAGACATACACACACAGGCCTTGTCTGTCCTTGTGCAGGTACTAATATAGTTTAAGTGTATCAAATAGGACAGTCCAGCACTATAAAAAAAAACTGTTACAGAGAAATACAGCATTTAAAAAGCAAGTTTAGCCTTTAAAAACACAGTAAATATAAATGAAAAAAAAAACGAATAAGATTTCAAACTAACAAAGCAGCATCAGTTTTTCTACATGAGTAACAAAACTTACATGTAAATGCAGTTATGAGCTGATGAAGCGGTCAATCAGTGAAGGTCAACGGCACATCCAGCTGCCCAGATTACCTGAAGGCAGATATTACAAATAAGACTCAATTAGTGTCAAACTGCATGAAATTCAATTGTACAAAGAGTAGAAATGGTAAAACTGGTGGAGAGCAGAGATGGGGGGGGGAACTTAGACATCAGATTTTACTGAAAAAGAACATACCTTGTTCAAATGATTCTAACACTGAAAACGACAGAACTGAACAGACAAAAAGCACAGGTGGGCATGAACCGGTGTAAGCACTTTTAAACAGTTACACTGAATAACTAAATGTCCGTTATCAACCATCCTAAAGCGCTTTAGTGTGACACTGCTATAGTCTCTTGTCTCTATGTCTGGGGTGCCCCATCTATCTGATATCGGAGCTCAAGCTGCAGGTGACGGACTCCATCCTCTACCTAGCATTGCTTTGATCAGAGACCGCAATGGAGGATCACACCATCCAACACAAGGCTTTCTGGGAATATGGCTCAAACCAGTAAACGGATCAATATACACAAGGTGTAAGTAAGTGTAACGAATCAGCTCATGAGGAAATATGAATTAACCATAACTAGTTATAATTAATTATTCATATTTTAGATCCGCTGTAGATATTTAGCTGACCTCTCAGGGCCAACGGTCTGTCAATTCTAAGAACGTTAGTTTCATGGTTAAGGGAAATAACTTTCTTACTGTACAATTCTACAAAAGCTTGTAGCATAAATCTGCATGATTAAGTGACTCCAGTTATGAGCAAACAATGAACAACGTCAAGTGTGATACAAGTAAGGTTTTATTAACTACATAAACTAGTCTAACATACTACATAAACACACACATACAGTTGGTATAGGAAAGGGTTAAAGCTTAACTCGGTACAGAAAGAGAAATAAGGACTATGAAGTTATAGAACCATTTGCATATTCAGCAGATCTACACCTGAGTGAAATGTCAGATTCTTAGTTCAAACACACCTTTGTAAAAAGGTGTCACTGATACTTAATGTATCAATTAATAAGACTAAGTTTGATACTTGCAAGTCTCGTCTGTCTGAAAATAGATTCCTGATGCAATCTTAAGGCCCAAGATCTTGCTGAAGTTGGTTGATGAGAAAGAACCAGTTTG